GAAATTGCAAAAGAGAGGACCTTACGGAGAGAATTCCAACCCCATTCTCTTTGAGAATCTCTTTCTACCTTTTTCCTAAAACTCCTTGTTAAGTAGATGGTGTCCACAATCAAACTGTGCCTCTTTGATAAAAAAAACATTCGCCTAGGGCATTTAATTTTATACAAAAATAAAATGTATAATACGATTGTTAATTTTTTCACCGACTTCAAATGCCCATCAGCGATGTTAAAGTTACTTTATATCTTCTCAGGCCCATTTTTCTATTATACTTCCTCTGTTTCAATTTAATTGATGTTTGAAGGAAGTTTTTTTGTTTCAAATTATTTGATTTTCTCATATTTCTAGGCATGGTTTTTTCTCACTTTTATTGGTTAAGACTATTCATATTCTGGAGTCTATTTTACTATTGGTCTAATATTTTTTATTTATAATGAGAAATATTTTTATATATATTGGAAAAGACAAAAAATACACAATGTATTAACTTAATCTATGTTAGTTTACCTTAAACATCAAAGAAATTGAAACAGAGGGAGTATTACAATTTTTATCAAATTATCTATAGTTATCACATAATAATGTTTTTTTGTGTGTAATATTTTATCAAAAATCTACTTCATAAATTTTGTTGCTTAAATTATTATTTTTCTTGTAAATCTAACAATAATCTACAATTGTTTAAATATTATACTGATGATAAATTATTAAACATTAAACTATATTTTATTTCAATTATGGCATTATAAACTCTACGCACGACTCTATCTACGATCCTCGGCCGAGACATCAAACTAGACCCATATTTGTTTACTAACCAAACTTTCGTGTGATGGCTGACTTCGACATAGAAACTTCTTCTCGCCCTGGAGACTTTTTCACCATGTTACTTGTGCAAGACCAGCCGTGATTTGGATAACCCACCGAGCCGTCTCGTGGAGATGAGACTAGCCGATTATGCTTCTCTCATCCTCTTAAGGGAAAAAACTTTGACCCGATGCTCTCAAGACTATTCATCGACGATATCCAAAGTCTACGACATGAAATCAACGATCTATGCACTATATATCCAAAATCCGTCCGGAACGATATCTTAGTACTTTTGTAACTACACATTTAGTTTTAGCTTTTATTGAAAACAAGTATAATTTATGGAATTTACATAGTTCAATTTTGTTTACTAAAAAAAGCTATTAGCAATACCTAATTGTGAAATTCTGGCTTCTGCTAGTAGCAAAATCTATGGGATAAGATCTTTACGAGTTGTAGAATCGTTGTTTTTTGAAATATCTATTTGTTTATTTAAAGATCATTAATGACCAAATCAACAATTCGGAGAAGATTAACTTTTACAGGTATTCTGTGAATGATTGGAGAATGAAAATTTAGACATCACATGTTTTGGACCTTTCGGTATAAAACAAAAAGCATCGAGCTCGCAATGCACCAATCTCGCAATGAATTGGTGTACCATATTTGTTTATTTATTTTCAAAAAGAAAAATCCATATATAATTTATAGTTGGACATTGTCAAACCTTTTATATTTGTTAGCTGGAACCCAAAAGGAACCAAATATACATATCACAAATCAAACCAATCAAAGGGAAAATAACGAAGATAAAGCATGAGAAAAATAATTATGTTTTAACATATTTGATTCCTATAAGTTATAGCCTATAACGAATGTGGGTTCTATCGATCCACAAATTTACGCAATATGAGTCTACTTGATTTTTTTTTGTTTTTTGGGTCGAAAATGATTTCATTAAACCAGTGAAAACCGGTTGTGTTAGTATATTTGATCTAAATCTCATTTTCTGTAGATTATAATTTGTTCCCGGCCTTAATCGGACATTCTAACTGAACCGAGCCAAACTAACCAAATCAAAGTACCTAATCCTAGTTACGAGTTCTAATTCTCTCACTCCCACGATCAAAGCTCTTATTAGGTTCTGATTAATTGAGATTTCCTATCGTTCAGTTTGACTTGTAGCAAACATGTTGGAAAAAAATTGTATATAAACTTTGAAAGTCATAGATATTTAGTCCATAATCTTCTTTGATATCGAGATCAGTCGTTGATAATACTATACGTCTAAAACATAAATCATTATTCCAACGTAGAATTGAACAAGTAACTTTATATACCTTTAAAAACCACTAAAGATGGCTTGGTTCAAGCACAAGAATATATTTTGTGCATGTTATTAAATTTCACATTGCTACAAATTTATAAATTTGATATACTTGACATTTTAAGGTACTCAGGGTAAGGTTTTAGGTCCTATTCAGAGCAATGGTTTTCAACACGATAGATTATATATGGTGACATCTAGGTTGAATTAATTATGAGGGTTGGTCAAGTGGTTCCGTATCTAGTTAATAGCTTTGACGTCTACAAAATCTTTTTCATTTTTCTTCATAAAAAAAAAGACATCTAGGTTGAAAAAAATATCTTAGAAAAACTAAAAACAAAATTTGTGTATTTCTTTACCAATAACCCATTTGTCTAATAGCAAAACTGCAAAACATTTACTTATGTCTATTTTTTTTTGTTAAAGAACATTTACTTATGTCTACATATATAAATCTTAACCATTTTAAAAATTTGGTACTTTCGTAGCTTTCACGGTGACTAAAAACGTAACAACTAAAAAATACTAATATAAAGAAACATGAATAAATATCTGTTTCGGTCTAAAAGATTATCCACAAAGTTGCTTTCAATTTTTCTACTTGACCCACTCTTTTGAAATTTACAACATGACAACTCACTTTCAGACACATAGACACACTAATAAATATAGCTCATTCAAACTTGTTTATGAGTAGACAAAGAAATTAAACGTTAAACAAAGCTATAGATAATACACTAAGATATGACATATCCCATACATCTAATCTAAGTGTGAGTTAGTATGCATTTGCGTATATATGGTGAGATTTAAAGGAAACAGAGAAGATAAAGAAGAGACGGAAAATGCGATTCTCTGCTCATAGTCGCGGTGGCTCCTCCCCCTTGTCTGCCTGTTTCCACCCTTCCGCCATTGACGATACTCCGTCGTCTCTTCCATCGCCGTCAACTCTACCGTATTTCGCCAGCGACCTTCCAAATCAGACCACCACTTGCCATTACCATACTAACGTGGGCGTTTTCTTCCTCTCATGGTCTCAGGCTTTCCTTCGTCGTTCTCTCCACCTCCATTTCTACTCATGTCACTCTGTAAATTGCTATCTCCACTCTCCCGATTGCTACCGTCACTCCGTTCCATTCACTTTCCGACTAGAAATCAAACCCTTGACCTTCTGGAGAAAACATGGTTCCAAGAAGATATCTAGAAAACCCGAAATTCGGGTCGTGTGGGACCTGAAACATGCAAGATTTGGATCAGGACCCGACCCGGAATCCGGATTTTACGTCGCGGTCTTCGTCTCCGGTGATGTGGGTCTTCTCATCGGAGATTCTCTAAAACAGAGGCCGAAGAGGCAAATCTTGGTGTCAAGAAGAGAGAATCTGTTTGGAAACAGAGTATACTTAACAAATATCAAGATTAAGGGAAAAGCCAGAGAGATTAGAATAGACGTTAAGGTTCATGACGATGCTTATCTCCGGTTTAGCGTAGATGGTAAAAGTGTTTTGAAGATTAAGCAGCTTCAGTGGAAATTCAGAGGAAATACTAAGATGATGATCGACGGTGTGACGATACAGATATCGTGGGATGTGTACAACTGGTTGTTTGGTGACAAGGATAAGGTTAGCCATGAGAAAGTCCCAGCCGTGCTCTTACTCAGGTTCGAGAACCAAGATGCGGTGGGAAACGATGTGTTGATGATGAAGAAGCGTGAGAGAGATGACGTTGTTTTGCGGAAGGAGAACACTCGAACGCTTTCGTTTTGGGCGTCTTCATATGCTCACTGGTCTTCTTCTCTAATGGAGTGGTCGAGTTGTAAGGAGGAAGAGGAGAGGAGCTTTGGACATAAGTCTTGGTTCTCTTTGATTGTCTACGCTTGGAGGAAGTAAAAAGACGCTCAACTTTCAAAACAAATATCATTTTTCTTTTGTACAAAGTAATGAATTGGATTCATAAATAGTGAACAAGTGTGTAAGAATCAAAAATTTTGTTTTGTTCTGTTTATAACAGATGATAAGATTCAGTTGCAGAGGCTTTTGTTTATTGTTAATTATTTTTATCTACGCTATCAGAAACA